TTTTTTTGATTATATAAATATATATCTTTAATTATATATTATATATATATAATTATATATATATATTATATTAATTAGAATGGTTGAACTTAAATTTAAATACGATGTTTTACTATACATCGTCATATCATTAAGTTGTTTCATTCCAATTTCTATACAACAAGCATATGATGATGGGGATGGAAGTTTATTAGATGATGTACCTCCGATATGGATATGTAATGGAACGGATCTTAAAACTCGTTCATATGATGGGACCTGCAACAACTTGGTGCATACCAATTGGGGTGCTCCAAATCGTGTATTTGATCGTGGGTTCTTTGACCCATATTATGATGATTATTTCACCGGTTCCCCCGTATCATTAATTGACACTAGACTTATAAGTAATTTGTTGGCGGATAGCGGTCAACCCCCTTCATTTACCGGAAACCCATTGGGCGATGATATTTTAACCACCACCAGGAAGACTGTATTTGAAACGGTGGGTAGGGAGTTTTAATCGGAACGGTAAAAGCTTTTAATTGGTTGATGACTCACTTTTTTTAACTTCATGTCATACAGTTCTTTGGACAATTTATTAATCATGACCTTGAGGAAGCTGCGACTCAAAGTGACGTACCTGGTTTCGTTATCGCCGATACATCTGCCGACCCTGTATTTAACAACCAGAGCAATAACATGTGGAATCCTACTCAAAGCCCATGTAGGTTAATGAGACCTGGTGTAAGAATATCCGTCCGAGGCTAACCTTTTTCTTTCGTTTTATATCAAGATATGACGATAACCCTTTCACTTGGAAGAATAATAAATTCAACGCTCTACCCAGTGAATAAAGGAAACTCATACCTTGACCTCTCCAACATATACGCAAATAATGATGATGATGCGATGAAATTACGAACTCGAGAAAATGGGATGATGAGTTTGTCGAATTATGTGACAAACGGTGGTGTATATAATAAAGCGATATTAAACACTACGGTAGCGAACATGGCACCAAGCCCACAGGAGACGGATATATTTCCAAATTTATCTGCACCGCAAATCAACGTTTTGGATGCGATGGTTAGTGGTGATACTAGAGCTTCCGAAAATATTCAACTGGCCATCATTCATACGATTTGGATAAGGGAACATAACTTTCAAGCACAAAAAATACTCCAAGAAAATCCTGATTTGGCGGGAAAAGATGAGGAGATTTATCAAAGGGCACGTAGAATTACAATAGCGGAATATCAACATGTGGTATTTGATGAATATTTACCCGCCGCAATCGGATTTAAGATGCCCCAATATGCCGGTTACGATGAAAACATTTACGTCGATACAACTACCTATTTCTCGACCGCGGCATTTCGCTATGGTCATTCTAATGTTCGTCCTTATAACATCGTTGATGGTTGTACCGGCGAATTGGTCGCTTTACATCCGGATTATGAACCGACAAGTTCTCATCCAAATAGGTTCTTTTACGTTGGTAGATCTATTGGCGTCGATCCCCCGCCAAACTCTGGATTAACGCGTGAACAATTGGACTATACGCCTGCTCGTATGATCGCTTTGGCCTCTGGTACCGGTAACGGTGTTGATAACATTGTCACCAGTATGTTGAGAGAACCGACTGCAGAATTTGATATTATGTTTTCTAATGCTCTCAGGCATATGCCTGGTATCATCGATTTATTCGCTATAGATATTGCAAGAGGTGAATATATATTTATTATTTTTTTTTTTTTTAAAAAAAAAATTCTTTTAACATTTATCAAAACCTTTTAATCTCTTTTTAAAAACTTTTCTTAGGCCGATTGAATGGACTTCAACCTTATAATGAATATCGAAAAGCCTATCATCCAGCAGGAGACGTATATAATAACCGAGCGTGTGACATCAATGCAGCTGAGGATCCCGTTGAATGTTTCTCAGTAATCACATCAAATGTAACTTTAGCGTCAAACCTTCAATACCTTTATAAAAAAGTGAACTTTATTGACGCAATAGTTGGTATGTTTGCGGAAGATAAACAGGCCTCAACATCTCCACTTCCACCAACGATCACTAACATACTTCGAGAAGAATTTGAAAAGAAACGTATGGGTGATAGATTTTGGTACGAAGGAAAGGAATTTACAGCACAAGAAATTGCGGCTATTAAAGCTGTTACCATGAAACAAATCATTGAAAGAAATACGAATGTTATCAATGTGCAAGTTAATCCTTTCAAAAATCCCGGTGCAAACGAAACTCCACGTGAGCAATCTTAAAACGTTTATGTCTGATGTTTTGTTTCTGTTAACTAAAAAG